TTTTCTCTTGCTGCTTTTGAAATTCTCTTTATCCCTACTTTTTGCCATTTCAATTACTATGTGTCTTTGTGTGGAACTCCTTGGGTTGATTTTTTTGGGAGTTCTCTGTGCCTACTGGTTTTGGATTTCTGTTTCCTTCCCCAGATTGGGAAATTTTCAGCTATTATTTCCTCAAATAAAATTTCTGCCCCCCCCCACCCTTTTCTCTCTCTTCTCCTTCTGGTATCCCTATAATGTAAATGTTACTGTGCTTGATGGTGTTGCAGAGTTCTAAGTCTTTTTCACTTATTATTATTATTTCTTCTCTCTCCTCTTCAGCTTGATTGCTTTCTATTACTCTGTACTCCAGTTTGCTGATCTGTTCTTCTGCTTCTTCTAGTCTATTATTTATTCTCTCTAGTGTATTTTTACTTTCAGTTATTGAGTTCTTCATCTCTGACTGGTTCTTTCTTATGTTTTCTATCTCCTTGTTAAGGGTTTCACTGAGGTCCTCTACTCTTTTCTTTCTTTATGAGCATTACTTACAATTATCTATCAGGCATATTACTCATCTCTATTTCATTTAGCTCTCTTGCTGTGATTTTGTCCTGTTCTTCCTTGGGAACATATTCCCCTGTCTCCTCATTTTGTCTAACTCTTTGTGCTCTTTCTTTTTTTTTTTTTTTTTTAAGATTTCTTTATTTGAGAGGGGGGAGGGGCAGAGGGAGAGAATATTTCAAGCAGACTCCCAGCTGAGTGTGGAGCCCAACATAGGGCTTGATCCCATGACCTATGAGATCATGACCTGAGCCCAAAACCAAGAGTTGGACACTTAATTGACTGAGCCACCCAGGTGCTCCTCTTTGTGCTCTTTCTATGTGTTAGGAAATTCAGCTTCATTTCCTGCTCTTGAAAGTAGTGGCCTTATGAAGAAGAGGTCCTGTAGTGCCCTGCAGTGCAATGTCCCCTGTTCACCAGAATCTGTTACTTCAGGGATATCTCCTCTGTGTGTTAAATGCACCCTACTATTTTGGCTGAGCCACTTTTGCTTTCAGCCCTGTCTCTCTTTGCCTGCTGTGGGCAGTGTTTGTTCCCTATGTTATTATTGGGTCAGTTTGGGTCTGCCTTGGTCTTGAGATGAGTCAGACCAGGAATTTACCAGAGATGCAGTAGAACTGATCAGCAGTGTGCTTTCCCTGTGTTGTCCCTTGAGATGGTTTATTGGCAGCTAGGGCCTGCATTAAGACCAGATGTCTGCCCACAGCCCACTGGGGATAGGTCTGTAGGAGGATGTGGGGATGGAACTTGTGGTCTTAGCATGCTTCATGCAGGAGTATTGTGGGAGTGGACCTTGAGTTGCTTTAGACAACTGCAGCAGGACTAGAGGGGGTGTGTCTACAGGAGAACACAGGGGTGGGGCACACTGTCAGCAAATTAGGTGAGAGTGTTTGTGCTGTGCTGGTTCCCACAGGTGTCCATGTGTCTAGGCTGGGAAGCAGGGGAAGGAAATGGTGCTTGTCAGTTCCTTTGTTCCTGGAAAAGTCTCCTAAAGATGTCTGTCCCTCCAGCACATGCTCTGAGATTAGTAAATAAATCTTCCCATATACCCCAAATGTTTTTCAAATTGCTACTTCTAGGCTGTATCTCTACAGAGCTGTTTGTTGTACTGTATCTTTAAGGGCAAGGAATTTGTTTCCTCTTGCCCTCTGGCTCTCCCAGAGTGGAGCCTGCTGATTTTTAAAGTTCCATGTGTTAAGCCCCCATTGTAAGAATTCACGAAATTAGTCCCCTGTGGTTTCCAAAGCCAAATGTTATGGGGATTCATCTTACCTGTGTGGGTTTCCCATGCCTGGGGTACTTGCTGTAATGGTTTGTTTCTCCTCTTGATGCCCATGGTGTCCCTTCCTCCATGGACAGACCCATGGGTCCATTTAGCCTCCACCATGTCTCTACCCCTCCTACCCTCTTCAGTGTGGCCTTTTCTCTACATTTAGCTATGGAGAGTCTGTTCTGCCAATCTTCAGGTCATTTTCTGGGTTATCTACATCGATGTGGGTGTTATCTAGTTGTATCTTTGGGACAAGGTGAGTGTAGGATCTTCCTACTCCACCATCTTCCCCAGAAGTCCCATTGGATCTTTTAAAAGTAACCTTGATAATCATCATGGTTTGTAAAATACCATCCAGTGATAGTACCATCTTTGTTTCATTTGTAATAGGAGTAAAAGTTCAGCTTTTAGAATCATCTGGCTGGAAGATGTCAAAACCTCCCATCTGTTTGTGGGCAGCCAGTATCATATGTATCATAAAGGGAAACATGTTTGTGATTAGCCTTTATTCCCATGTACTGATTCTTGAAATCTACTCATGTATATTTCAGTGAAGCATGGTATAGATTATAAATTTTGCATTATGTATGCAAAACTATAGGAAGCCTATAAAAATTATATAGATATGTATTTAAGTTTTCTCAGTAATAGCTTATTAGACAATAAACAATATCCTGGTTACTTAAGTGATGATCTACTTGCTTTTCCAGTGGCACCATTTACATCTGTCCCTGGGCTGAACTAATGGGAATTTTAAAAATTGAGGGCCCCAAAGCTATGAACCCTCCCTCAAAGCAAGTATCCCTCTCGGGGCCAGCCAGGAAACCTGCCAACCAACCTCTCCCAGTGCCCACCACACACATGGCCCCAGAATGGGTGGAATATAATTGAAAAAATATCACCAGCACTTTCATGTTGGTTTTCCCTAAAAAGCAGTGCCATTAGAAAAACCAGAATTGTATTTTCTCATTCCCACCTATGTACTATACCAGGTTTACCTTGTCCCTTAGGGGAAAATAGCCATATGCTTGAAAACGCCAGTGTTTTGTATATTTGAGGCCCTTTTCATGAACCTCTAGGAAAAATAGTAAAGAGTGCCAGGTAAATACACACAGACAAACCAATAGAATTATTAAGCCATCTTGATGAATGGATTTTTAGGGATTATTAACCCTTATATTTATAAAGAAGAATAACCCCATATTATATTGATAGTGATTGTTTAATAAAAATTTGGGACCCCTGGGTGGCTCAGTCGGTTAAGCATCTGCCTTTGGCTCAGGTCATGATCCTGGGGTCCTGGGATTGGGCTCCCTGCTCAGCAGGAAGCCTGCTTCTCCCTCTGCCTGCCACTCCCCTGCTTATGCTCTCTCTCTGGCAAATAAATAAAATCTTTAAAAAAATTCAAAGTAGCTCTAGGCTGACTCAGGCAGGTAAGGGAAGATAAATACACACTACTTTTCTGTAATCATTTAGCACCTTAGCATCAAGTGAACTATTTCTGCAGCTTATTTGTAGGCTCTTACTGTATCTAAGGCACTATGTTAGTCCTTAGAGGGGTTCCAAATTTATTCTACATATAACCCCTGCCTTAAAGGAGGTAATTTTAATGACTCACCTAGTGCTTTATAAATTCTACTGTAAAAAAAGATAGTTGGAACTATTAATATCAGTCATGGAAAATCTCTTCCCTCCAACATATTAAAAATCAAAAAGATTTTTTTTATTTCATAATATAAAAGAGTCAAACTGATTACCATAAAATTAAGAAAACCATGAGTTTATACAGTCCATTTGAAATGTTCTATCAATTTCAGCACAAACAAATTGCCTCTTAACAATTTTCCAAAAAAATGTCTGGCATGAATTTCATGTGAAAGCCATGCTTTTGTAGAACTGGATAAGAATATGGTAGATAACCATACAAACTGCTTTTTATTCTCTGAATTCTTCAACAACTCCTTCTAATGTAAAGTTGGCACACACACACCAATGTTTATAAACTTCTGGCAGAAGAAGGTATAGAAACAATTTCAAAGATCTATGTCCATTGTTCACCTGAAACTAATGTAACAATGTGTGTCAACTATACTCAAATAAAAAAAAAAAACTTTAAAAGAGAAGGAAGTTTAGCACACAGATCAGTTCGCTATTGGCCGCAACAAAGAGCCCTAGAGTGTGGGTATCAGTGCAGGCAAGATTGAGCAAAGGGTTCAGATCATACCTAGAGTGATCTGTGATGTTAGAGCTAATTGGAAGCTGAAGAGGATCTGTGTGGTTGCATGAAGAAAGTCTCCCACCCACACCACTCCCATTAGCAGGCCACACATCTGCCAGTTCATGATGGTTGTATAATGCAAGGGCTTACAAATGGTCACATAACGGTTGTAGGCCATCACACTAAGTAGGATGACCTCAGCAGCTCCAAAGAAATGTTCTCCAAAGATTTAGGTCATACACCCATTGAATGGAATGGTCTTTTATAGAGTAAATCTATAATCATTTTAGGGGTATTTATAGAGGAATAGCAGGCATCAGTAAAGAAGAGATAGGCCAGGACGCTTGGGTGGCTCAGTTGGTTAAGCATCTGCCTTTGGCTCAGGTCATGATCCCAGGGTCCTGGGAATGAGCCCCACATCGGGCTCCTTGCTCAGCAGGGAGCCTGTTTCACCTTCTGCCTCTGCCTGCCTACCACTCCCCCTGCTTGTGCTCTCTCTCTCACTATCTCTCTCTCTGTGTCAAATAAATAAATAAAATCTTAAAAAGAGAGAGAGAGAGAGATAGGCCAGAAAAAGGTACATGGGAGACCCCAGTGATGGGCTGGCAGTGATGGTGACTACAATGAGCACATTTCCTACCACAGAAATGATGTAGATGACAGAAACTAGAACAAATATAATTTTCTTTAAAAAAATGGGGGCACCTGGCTCAGTGGATGGAGCATGCAGCTCTTGATCTTGGGGTTATGAGTTCAAGCTCCATGTTGGGTGTAGAGATTCCTTAAAAATAAAATCTTAAAAAAAAAAAACCCCTATGTCCATTGTAGTTACTCAATAAACATTTGCTAAATGACTAATAAAAAATTTATCAGGTAAATTTTTCTGTTTTGAATAAGAAGCAGTTCAACAGAGAGTAACACTGTCTTGAGGGTACATGTGACCACCATCTAATGCAATGATTTTTATTCCTTTAGGAAAAAACCAAGCACTGAGTTTGAAATCCCTGAGAAGCTGGAAGAAATTAAGCTCACATTGACTGAAAATGAAGACCATGAAAAGCTACAAGTTAAAATACAGGCTTTTGAAGACAAAATAAATGCTGAGAGCAATACTCCTAGCTCTATCAGAAGATATAGTTTGGGCCAATTTTCTAAGGAAGAAAGAAAAGACATTAGATTTAGCAGGTATAAATTTTGCTTGGCTGGTTTTTTAAAGTATGCACTTTATGCTTGCTATTAGTTTTGTTATCACACTGTTATGGGGTGGTTTTTAAATATCTTTCACCTATAGCATGCAAAGCCCCATCTTTTCATGAATGAACTGGCATTCACCTGCTTCCATTATCCAACGAAGCTTGCTATAATAAAAAGGAGAATACAAATGGAAAACAAACCTATGGCTTATTTTTTAAAAATACTTTAAATATAGATGTGCTATATATATATTTTTAAAGATTTTATTTATTTATTATTTATTATTATTTATTTATTTATTTATTTATTTATTTATTTATTTATTAGAGAGAGAGCACAAGCAGGGGAAGTGGCAGGGAGAGGGAGAAGCAGGCTCCCCGCTGAGCAGGGAGCCCGATGTGGGGCTCGATCCCAGGAACCTGGGATCATGACCTGAGCCCAAGGCAGAGGCTTAACTGACTGAGCCACCCAGGTGCCCTATAGATGTGCTATATTGAGAATGACTGTCAAAAGCCTCTCTTGTTTTCTGATGAAAAAGCAGAAGCAAAAGTAGAAAAAAAAAGAATATAACTATGTAAGTCTACTATTTTCCAGTTAGTTTTGCCATGAAATTGATTTTTAAATCTCTGTTTTTGGAGGAGGCCTAGATCTTCCAAGGTTTGGCTTATTACATAACTTGTTGCTGCTCAATGTTTTTATCAAATCTGTTAATAGCACCAATTTTCGGTTTCACACTCTAGAGGAAGTCATTTTGCCCCACCATTATTCTTTCTTTCCTTCTCAGTGGATGCTAGCTCAACTTCTTTATCTGTCTTGGCTTTTTGTTTGTATTGCAGGTCAAAGAGTTTGGCTTTGCACACTGTGCTAACAAAGAGCATGAGTTCAGATGATGGGGAAGTTGTAGAGAGTGAAGATATGCCAGCCAGCACCTTTCTTTCAGAAACAGACCCACTTAGCCAAGGAAATGACAAGTTGCCCTTTAAGGCAAACTTTGACAGATCACAGCTGGGAAGTTCTTCAGTTTCACACCCAAGTATTATACATACAGAATCAGAGTATTTGCCAGAAACAGTTAAAGCAAACTGCCAGGAAGAAACTCCAGAAACTACTGCAAGTCCTGTAGAATACCAAGATAAGCTCTACTTGCACTTAAAAGAAAACTTCAGTAAAGTAAAAGCATATGCTGTGGAAATCGGAAAGAAGATTCCGGTCCCTGATCAGTGTACCATTGAAGGTATGTGCTCTAAACACCCTAAACTTGAGAAATTTCAGTCATCGCTGGGGGGCAAAAAGGCTCAAATCATAAAAATTGCCATGCCCTGGATTTTTTTTTTTGCAAAATAGATCGTTTCAAAACACCCTCACAGTATTTTAATTGCTTTTTTCCCCCTAATAAGTTCAATCATCTTTTTTATTTCTATTCAAATCTACTTAGATGTACTTAAGTTTACCGACTCCGATTTTTTTCAAACCTCAAAATATATTGTTCCTGGTTCTCTGTCCGTAGTGTTTAGGAAACTCCTGGAAGGGGTCCGTGTTCCCTAAAGCAGGCTCTGGGGTAAGGGTCCAGTCAGAGACATTTTTCTAGCCACGTAATCATGCAAGGAAGCCATGCACAACATTGAGCTCCACGAGATTTTTCTCTCAATCATTCAGCAGCATGTATGAAGCAGCTACTGTGTGCCAGGCAGTATGCTAAAAAAAAATGCAGCTTTGTGTGAGATTCAGCTGTGACCCAAACAGATACAATCCCTGGCCTCTGGAGATTATAGAAAAAAAAGAGTGAGATCATAGTCAGGAGGTGATATATGTCAGGACCCAGTGAGAGTGTGAGCTAGTCAGAAAACAGAGAACAAAGAAAAAGATGTCAGGAACTGGGATTTCCCTCGGGTGTACAATTTAAGGAGGTGCCAAAAATTTTTAAGTTAAGACAGGATCAGTATGTCTTGCCAAACCATATTGGAGCAGAGGCAAAAGGAGCAAGAGGTAATATTGATCATGTTTCCACTTACAATTTTGATTTTGTTCATCATGAACCTTTTGTATTAATTTTGATTTTTTCAAATATATGTATTTTGACTACTAAATTTTCTCATGCTTCTTAAATTTTGTGCCCTGTTCCTGGAAAAGAGGATAGGTTTGAGGCATACTTACTAAAATGGAAGAGTGCCGGGGCAAGCTCATCCTTCTGGTAGTGAGTTGAACAGATTTGGATATTTTGAAGGCACTGTTGGCTAATTAGGTTTTTCTTGCAGTCCTTCTCAGTTAGCAGCCATGTTATTCCCTTGAGATCAAGATGAAGGTCCTAGCCCTCTTGTTGGACGTGACAGCTTTTCCCAGACTAGACAGCACATCTTCCAGAAAGAAACAGTGGAAGGATAGTGAATACAATTCACATTCACCCACGCACTGACTGTCATCCCCCTCAGTGGATGGTACTAGGAGGGTCCCATTTTCCATACTCCACTTACTATCCCTTCTCCCACTCCAAAGCAGAGAAAAGAATGTATTCTCATGCTAACAAAGGGAAAGGGGGATTCAAGCATTTGGGAATGACAAATATTTTCTGCATATCTGTAGAATCTGACATTTTCAGAGGTGTTTACATTAATTCGTTGACTAGGATTCTTAAAACTCTTTTTTTAATGGTGACCAAAAAAAGTGATATTGCTCATATTCAATATAAGTTTTGGATAATTAAGTATAACAAGATTTGAGATTAACTAAAATCAATAAAACTCAACACAAACTCTTTACAATTTCGCATTTCATTAATACTCTATGTATTTAATGCACAGGTTGGAGAATTTAATGTAAAAGAGGTTAAATGAATTTCCCAGCTTAAGGGAGGAAGTTTGTAGCAAATGTAAAGTTAGACATATTTCCATCTGCTAGAATAGTTTTGTTTTTTAAGTTTAGCTTAAAACATTGAAGCTGTGCTATGTGGTGAGTTTTAACCTTGTGAAAACCTGTGGAGGTCCTGCAGTTACTTCAAGAGTCTAATTGTCAAAAACACATGGTATTTCTTATTGCCTTGAATTATTTTGGGAGTTTGAGGGTGACTTGGGTTTTTTTTCCAAGATATTGAATGAATCCATCATCTTTACTCAAAACAAACAAAAATCAAAAGGTATTTTCTTTTGATGTTTCCTACCGGGAATGGCCTAGAACTGAGTATATATTTTTATGAGTTGACATTTTGGAATTTATTCGCATTTTTGTAATTTCCTGGAAGTTTCTGGAAAATTCCTTGTGCAGGGATATGTGTGAGGGATTTATATGACTCACTGTAAATACATCCACTGAGAAAGGACTCGTGCTGACTGCAGGGGACGTGTTGTTATTCTTCCCGAGATTGTGTAAACCATTCAGGAGAAGGCCAGCAGTCATCTGGCTGACACAATTTTGCTTGCTGTCATGAGATCACTCAGCTCAACAGTATCACATTTCTTTCCTTAAAAATTTCTTGACGAAAGATTTAGGCTTAGAAACTGTATTATGGTTATTGTGTTGTTGGTGTAAAAAAAGGCACATTTGGCCTTTCTTGCTGAATTATGCAAAGTAATCAAGAAACAAAGGGAAGAAGCATAGAAATCACTTCCACAACATTTAGAGTTAAAAAGAAAAATAGCCAGCAGGAAACAAGAACAACAACAACAATGAGTTAGGACTAATTTTAGACTGATGCCATAATGCCTACACCATAAGAAAATGATAAAACAACACTTTAAGGAAATTCTTTTGGTATCCTTTTGAATCATATGGAAAAAACCAATACTAATATCTGACTCCCTTACTTTGACCTACAAAAATGTCACTTTCATAAGGTTCAATCTATACTTTAGTAATAAACTATGTTGAAAGAACAGGAACTTTACTAGTCAGAGTGCAGCAGAATTCAGTATTAGGTGAATCAAGGTCACAAATACCATTCTTATCCCCAGTCAGCCCTCTTATTATTGCATGATATTAATCACAGAGGGGGCAGGTAATGGACTATAAATACAGCAGCACAAATCTATCATCATGTCTGGAACAATTGTCAAACCCCAGGTCTTATTGAGGTTGGGTCAGCAGTGTCATTTTGAGTATGAAAGAGCCTGTTATTCCCAGGTCAATAATTCTGTCCCGGGCCTTCTAGGCCTCTGGTGTGGATGCAGTTTAGCCAACCATGGAAAGTTAGGTATTCATGTTCAGAGTGATGGGCTGACATCACTGCCTGATTGTATTTACGTACAAGGCTGAAGGAATTTAGTTCATCAGCTAAAGGGCATTTTAAATATCTGAATCACTGGAATTCGTTTATGTGAACAAAAATGATTAGAGGTTAAAAAAAAAAAACCAAAACACATGCTATTGAAATAAATCCTTGAAAATCTGACCCATCACTGGTGTTCTATAAAGGATGATATAAAAGCTTACAAGAACCCATCAATGCGGCTTTGGTTCGCTTTGAAGTATTCCCTGATTGGGTGAAAATACATTCCATCTGTAGAGCATATCAGCAAGCCTGACTTGCAGAAAGCTAATTTTAAAGCTAGTAATGTCGTCCTTTCTCTAACAGACTGACATGAGGTGATTTTTCAACTTGAACCGATATAAGAATATACAAAAATAAAAGTTCATTTAAAATATCAAGAAACAGGTGCTGTTTCATAATTAATTACAAATAAAGTTTTCTTATTGAAATTTTGCATGTCCAACCCCATGCTGGGACGACCAAGGAGGCAAAGCCAACCCAGGCCTTACCTCTTTCTCCTTGGTTGGTCTCGTCTGGGGGGTGATATAACACTCATTCATTGAGTGGTTCTGGAGGAAGTGTCCTTTTTAAAAATAGATTGGTTTAGCTGTAGGATTAGGATCATTTATCCTTAAGGAGAATTGTAAGATTTGGAGGCAGACACGAATCCTCAAGCTTTTCCATACAATTTCAGAGGAAAAAAACAGCAGATAGTAAGATATTACAAATTCCCTGTTGCCTCATTTCATTGATATGGTCCACTGGGGTTCCTGTTTGAAGAACACTAGCTAGGGAAAAGTTTTCTAGAGAATTTTTCTTGGTGCTTGGGAATTTATCATGGATTACCTGTCTGCCAGTTCCCATTTCTCCCGAGTGGGTTTTAGTCAAAAGAAGATAGATAAAATAGTGGCCAGGTTCTCCCCTTAACCTTATCCAGCCACTCATATCCTGGCTCCAGTCATCCTCAGTTTCCCATGAGAAACATTTAAATAAAAACATTTAATTAATTATAAAACATTTAAATAAGTAAAAAGAAGACCTACAAACCCTTTTAAATATCTGAATCACTGGAATGATTTTTGGAAAGATCCCTTCCAAACTCTTCTATTCAGTTAACATCAGTTACTGCCCTTGTTCATCCCCAACAGAGTAGCTGCAAGGTCATTGGTAAAGATGTTACACATTTAAATACACACCTTAACTGTTTGCAGAGTTCCACTAGAGAACATTAGATAACTTTATTTCTCATTAATTATATTTTCAAAAGTTACTTCTAAAAAAAAAAAAGAAAAGAAAAAGTTTGATTTTCTTTGAACATTCAAATAGATAAAGAAAAATGCCCTAACCATGCTATTGAACAAAAAGGTATGCTGATTATCTGCATGTTGGCCTATCTGATGTGTATCTATGAATGAGAAGTATATTCATCCACCTAGGAAACAGTACAAAGTAAAATTGGTGAGCACCTGTACACACGGGCCATTTTGTATGGAAATCCAGGAGTGATTATCTGCCTATAAATCAAATGAGTCATCTAATCCTCCTAATATAGTGCCCACCTTGGGTAGGTTTAAAGAGACATTGTTAATAAATAAAGAGAAGTAAAAGCAAATTCATAATGGAGCAAAAATGCACAGGAGTTCATTTGGCATATCCTGCCCGAAATTTAGGCAGCCACATTAAAAGAAGGAGAAGGGGAGATGCTTAGGAGCAGAAGTAGTTTGCTGTGGCAGGTTTCATATTCTTAAATATATTCTTCTAAATGTATTATTTTTATAATAGAAAGATATGGCATTATGTTCTTATATCTGTAGTTAGTATTTTTTTAATCTTTTTTTTAGTACAGTTCATACTCAGAGATTATTATTAATCATCCCTGATTTTTGTTTGGGGTTTGTCTTTACTCCAAAGCATGCAGTGCTGTATGAAATGGTCCTGGACCATGGGTGGTCACCAGCACAAGAATACATTCCAACCCAGCTTGCTACAAACCA